TTTTTTTTTTTTTTTTTTTTTTTTTTTGACCCGTAAGGGGATCGCAACTCTTGGCACAGTGTGGTCCACACCATGCTCAGCCAGTGAGCGCATCGGCCATCCCTATATAGGATCCAAACCCACAGCCTCGGTGCTCCCAGCACCACACTCTCCTGAGTGAGCCATGGGGCTGGCCCAAGTATTTGATTTCTTAAAAGGGCATGAACTATATTATCTTCTTGAGTTCTGATAATAAGAAAAATTAACCAAAAACAGAAATGCAGTATCATCAACAAAGGACATTTGGGCAGCCAGCTAAGAAAGCCAGCAACCATAATCCTGAGTGACACACATGGAATGTTCTCCAAAATAGCTGAAGTCATTTGGCTGCTGATTTCCAAGTCAGCATTCTTCACTGCATTATGGCACAAAGGATTTATATTATAGTGGGATGATCAACTGTAATGTACAGAATCAGTAACGTAAGGAGAGAGTTTCTTATAAATCTGAAACTAGAAATTTCTAGGCTGAACATCTATCCAGTAAACAGGAGCTTTGAACAAATCAAAATCTCAGAAGAACTAGTTAAAATATTCTCGGGACTTCCGGTCAAGATGGCAGAATAGAGATGGTCCCCAGCATCACCCTCTCCCACAACTGATCAATATACAACTATTAAAAAGCAATGACTACCAAGCTGGGGCCACTAGAGTCCAGGGGAGGAGTAGGAGAGACCTACGGAGTTCATGAAGTCGGGAGAAGCTGCGATGAGAGAAAGAAAAAACCACTCTGTTTCAAGCCCTGGCCTCTTCAAAATTGACCCTGGTGAGCACACGGAGCAAGAGCTTGCAAAAGCCACAGCTGTGCCCTTTGTGTGACATTGCTTGGAGACTGCAGGGGAGAAGAGGGCCTTGGTAGCCCCCAGGCCAGCAAGAACACTGACAGGGTTCCTGTGGACTCACACAGAAGCAACGGGGAACAGACAACTGAAAAAAGGAGCCACCCAAAGGCCACTGAGTCATTGCAAAGGACCAGCACACAGCCAGTCCCATGGAAGTGTTCAGAGTGCAGGGAGTGGGGAAGACAGGCCCACTGGGGGAACACTGGGGCAGAGCATGGACAGCTGATCTGCCCTCCAGTCAGCACAGGACCACTCAGTGGAGATTGGTCAGGAATACAGAACTGCAGGGGGTGCGGTTTGGTATAAAGACAGGCCCAGACCAAAGTTTCCACACAACCCAGGTGTATCAGATCTCACAAGACCAGGAAGTGCTAAAAGGTCAACAATCAAAACCTGAGCTGCACAAAAAAACCTTCCCCAGAGAATCATTAGCAAAGCAGCAATTTAGCTCAACCACAGGGTTCAAGTGCTGGTTCCCACAGGAAGTAACCAAAAGACAACAAATTAGTTTCAGTGCAGGGTTTAAGTGGTGGGGGTAGCTAATAATCCACCACAGAACTGAAAGAAAACATAAAACACCCACATACCAGAGACAAAGTTCTGATACTAACCAGTAAAGGTCTAACGCCACCAAAGAACACATATAAAACCTAGAAGGACCAGAAGCCCCCCAGGCTCCTGAGCCAGGGTAGGAGGGGGTACCAAAGGCCTTAGCCACACTCCCCGCAACTACCACATCCAGCCCAGTGATGACTGAGCCACCACTCCAGGCACCCAAACTGGAATGGGGGTGGGCCATAGGCCTCAGCCACCCTCCTCCCACCCTCTCCCCTGCAACCAGGCCAGTGAAGGAGCCAGCCATGGGCCAGCTTCTCCTTCCTCCCTCCTCCTCCCTCCTCGGTCCTCCCTCTCCTCCCCATTCCCCCTACCTCTACACCTCCACCTGCTCTGCAACATCTTAGAATGTAAAAAATAATTAATTTTAATATATGTGTATATATATACAGATATACATATATATACATACATATATACATATATATATATACACACATAGATACATATATACATATGTATATGTATTTTAGATTCCTTTCC